CTCCAGCTCTAAATTCTCCTTGATTTTTTTATTTATACTGTTTTTAATTAGTACAGAGGAAACCTATGTTAAAACAACCCGACTAAACTAAGTCAATCGTTTCCATAAGTAAATGTCAATTATTCATAATTGCATCTTGCATTAAACCGACTTGGTGCAGGAGTGTAGTAATCTGAAACATTTGACCGCTTAAGTTGAGAACTAAGGAAACATACAATGATCATATTTTCCATTTCAGCAGCTTGCAGAGTTCGCACCTATAACCATATAGTTTATATACTCTCCTCCCCAATGCACTCCCACTCAGAAGGGTATCAACAGCATAGCATGAAACTCTCTCTCTCTCTCTTTGTTTGCGCATGCAGTATTTTAAAGGCTGTCTTCTGTCTTTTCTTTTCCCCTAGGGCTTTTTGCTGCACTTTCAGTTTTACATCCATCTTTCAGTACAGTATAGGTAAAGCTTAAGGATGTCTCAGTGCAGCACATGCATGAGGCTAATCCGACCACGTCTTGTCCTGATATTAAATTATGTCCCAATAAAGCAGCACGGCTGTTCTGTCAGGCCTGGCCATGCCCTAAGCCAGGGGATATTGTGCAAAACAATAGGATTCAGGGCATGATGATGTGCCTGCAACAAGCTGGCATGGTATAGGGAAAGAGGGGAGGATCTGCTGAAAGAGCAACAAAAGCACCGTGAGCCATCCTGGCCTGCCATTTCCATCCCATCACACACACACACACACATAGACACACACACACACACACACACACACAAACAAGCACACGGGCACAAACACACACACACACACACACACACACACACACACACACACACACATCCCTGGGCTCAAAATCTGCACATCAAGCTGTCTGTAAATAAATGGGCCAAATCTTTGCTGACCAGCTATATCAGTGCTCATAAACAGGTCAGTGTTTGAAGAACAGGAACACAGCAGACTCCTAAGCTTAAACTTGTAATATTTATTACAGCAGCTAAAAAGAACCCCCTGATATTACTCTAAGAAAAATCTTTGCATTTTCACTACCATTAAGAGCAGAGCAGCCTTCTTGTACGAAGCAGGAAATGTGTGTTGCTGTTTACATTTCGTCAGTCAGTCGCTGGTGATATGAGTCGTGGTGGCAGTAACTATAGGTGTGAGGGCAGAATGAATGGCGCCCTTCACGAAGGAGTAATTGCCATGTGATTACAGCCCAACAAATCCGGCTGCAGCAAAGCCCCCTTTCATTTCCCCTGGCTGGCGGAACAATGTGGCGCAGAGAGACCCCGGTGTGAACCCATCTTCTCATATCTGATCAAAGGAAACATGCCAGTATGGACCCTGGAAAAAAAAAGCACAGCCACCAGACCAAGAAGACTTGAACTAAAAAAGGGCTATTTTTAATCACCTTAAAAGATGACTTTTATGCATGCTTTCTCTTTCTTCAGCTTTTTTTTTCCTTTAGCTCATCAGGTAGCTCTGTATGGCTAAGCAGAAAGTCTTCGATTAAAGACACAGTGCATTCGCAATCACACAGAATAGCTGCGTGCGCTGCCTTGCCTGCAAATGCTGCATCATGGGAACTGGCCTTCAGCTCAAAAACAAACAGTAGCCTGGCTTGAGGTTGGCTCGATCCTTTCTTTTGTCTTTCTGGATGACTGCAGAGCTGATGAACTCACGCCCCACCAGCCTACAAAGCGTACGAGGTGGAGATTGAGATGTACAACTCAAACCCAGATCTTACATTCATCAGAGAATCTGAATAAGAACCGAGAGCATAAGTTCAGTTGGGATTGTTGAGTTGCGACATGACATAAAGCTGAGTGTTTGGTTAGAAATGTATACACAGGGACGGACAAATCAGTAGTCTAGGTGCTTAGGACAAGCAGATTGCATATCCGGGCTATTGTTTGATTTATTCACAGCTGCAAGGGATAAGTAAGTTCAACAACACTACACACTACACAGAACAGTTTGACGGAAAGCTTGCATGCTACTCTCATGCTTACTACATCCAGTCACACTGCAGTTAAACAATAAAGACGCTAGTCATGATCATATATTGAACAGTTACTTGTTGACGTTTTGTCAAGGCTGTAAACATAATGTGCTATATTTGAAACTTTGCTAGAAGAGGATAATAACCAGCCACTCATTATTTACTCATAGTCTGTATTAATGCACTTACTGTAACTAGCTAACTAGCTTAACATACTTCATTATGTTACATTACATTGGGTGCGTCTCAATCAGCTCCCTAGTTCAGTAGGCAGGAGACTGATCGAGGAGCCGTCCATTTTAAGGGCTGTCTCAATCGCAAAATCCTTCCAGTGCACTAGAACGTTTGACAAAAAACAGGGCTCTAACAACCCTAACCTTCACTATGTTCCCTTACTGGAAATGGTGTCATATTTTCTGAAGCCTCTCAAAAAAATGGCGGACAAACTCACAGCCAACATCGTATAAAAATGTATGTAGCTGATTATTGTTGATGTAGCTCTAAAAGGATTAACAATGTTAGCCATTTTTTACTTTATTTGACATTCTATAATACAGTTTGTTTGAGTTTAACGCCTTTAAAGCGTTTAATGATTTTTTTTTTTAATTCACTAGCTACCCTATGATCCAGCTTGAAGTATCATGACAGAAACGCAAACGAATTTATATGACATATAATGTCAGAAAGATATTGGTCCTTCCTGTAAAATACCAGTGGTGACGTTTTACAACACAGGTACATAGTCATGTGCCTGGAAATTCATAAGTGAGTCATAAGTGTGCCAATGTCTAGTGAGTCCTTAGCAGTGCCCAAACTCGTGTACACGATATGCTGATTCATGACCTAGGGAGGTTATTGGGACCTACCCATTAGCAACCACTTTTTAGCCTAACAAAATTTGGGTCTGAATAGCACACAAGAGCTTTCACTTGTCCTGTGGGCTAGCTAATCATTTGTTTCCTCATTTGTAAGTCGCTTTGGATAAAAGCGTCTGATAAATGAATAAATGTAAATGTAAATGTAAATGTAAAAATGTGTCCACCTCTCATACTATATACAGTATTTATAATAATCTAGCATCTACTAGGAAATTCATATTCTTGCATATTCAAAAGCAGAGGTGTAGGGTGAGTCTTTCCCCCTCAGGTTGGCGGTGTGTGTCAGTAGGACATAACCCCCATCTGTGTAACCCGACAGTACCAGAGCACACCTGTGAGCCATTTCCCTTCAAACATCTGAAGGCTCAGATATCCTTCAGCCTTCAAAGACCCATAAATGAGACATCGACAGACTAATCACGCTCAACTCTGGCCAGAGTGTCCATTTACAAGAGCCCCAAAAAAAAAGCCCAAAGGAACTCTACAACTCTGAAAGATGACTTACTGCAGTGTATTTAGTTTTAGAACGGTGATGTGGACAGTCATGTTAGTTTGGGTATGAGGAACTGTCTGCAGTGTTTTCATAGTCTTAATGTTTCCTTGTAATCACTACATGACTACAATATAAATGTGTGGTCATGACCTTGAAATGTGGGGATTTTCCTGCGCCCACAAATGGAAGACTTTAAACGGTAAGCGTTGGCTCATGTCAGCTGCGGAGCCTGGAACAGCTTTTTAAAATCTGTACAGCAAAACATTTAGCCAGTGTAGAATGAACAGGAACGTTGACAAATTAACTCACAGTGCTCAGCTTGACTCATATCAACACAATCATATCTTTGTGTTGATTCAAATTACCATTGGGGATTTCTGTGTAAAACAAGGCACTGAGAAGTGTTGCTGTAATATTGCACACATGACCAGTGAAGTTAGTGCAAACTGCAAATTAAAATATTGCAGAAGATTGAACCCACAAAATTCTCTGCTCCGTACAGGCCTGTCTGGTTGACCTAGTTGTATGCTATGTATTACATTTTGTACAGTTTAAGACAAGTCATCCTGTTCCTCTCCACAGGCATTTATCAACATGTCAGTAAGGGTTATGAGGCCAGGCTGCTGGGCTCCTATGGACCCAGATTACTCTTCCGTCTGGTCACTGGAGAACTAGAGTCTGAACCGACACGAAAACCTCACACTGAAGGAAACACTATTGCTATTACTAGAGCGACAAACATTTTGACTGATGGCTTTGAGACCAAAGCAATTAAGCAACAGCTGTCTTAAAATAACAAGAAAGTGTGAAGTGCAATAAATAAGGCACAAATGAGCAGGGATGCTTATAAAAATAAACAAAAAAAAAAGTCAAGCAGGCAGGCAAATACCCAAAGAACAAAGAACCTCTCCTAATCAAAATTACAATCAAAGAACCTCTTGTTTGACTTTAAATTGCACAGCAAAAACGTTCACAAACGAATGCCACAAATTCTACCAATTACACCACTTTTTACACAGCAATTAAGGTTCCAACTAGGCGTAGTCTTGGGGAAATCTAAAGGACCTCTTTTTTTATTGATCTTTATAAGTCAGATTCCCACTTCATTAAGCAAGGTGTTTCAGGTGTAACACATCTGATCCTCCATTTAAGAAAAACAAACAGATGTCATGGATGTTGAATAATGTTTTCAATCACACTCCCTATATATCAATATCAACCACAATATCAAACATCCTGTTTCATTAGTTCATTTTCAGTAGCCGCTTTATGCAGTGGATTCCAGGAACATTGGCTGCAAGGCAGGAATATACCATCAATGGAATGCAAGTCCATCGCAAGACACCACACATATTCACACCTTGGGGTAGAAACCTACGCATACATGGGTTGAACATGACAAACGAACAGCAAGCTGAGCTCAGGATGAAATCACAGACCTGCATACTACACCAGTGCTACATACAGTATCTCCATCTAGCACCCTAATCATCTTTCGGTTTGTCCCTCTGTAGGAACCCCTATTAGGTTCTATGTACAAGCCTATGACAGAGTGTTTCCCTCTCAGAGAGGGTTCCAAATTATGTAAATACTTTACTGTGCAAAAGTCTTAGGCACATGTAAAGAAATGCTGTGGGGTGGCTTAGTAGTAAGTATGTTTGCCTCGCACGTCTAGGGTTGGGGGTTCGAATCCCACCTCCACCCTGTGTGAAGCTTTGCTTCAGGGTTTCCTCCCCCAGTCTCCGGTTTCCTCCCCCAGTCATGCATTGTAGACATGCATGCAAAGACATGCATCGTAGGCATTTCCAAATTGTCCATAGTGAATGTGTGAGGGATAGGCTCCAGGCTCCTCTGTGAACCCTGTGTAGGATATGCAGTATGGAAAACGGATGGATGGATAATTTCTACATTGAAAAAGTAAAAAGTCATTATTTCGTGTGACAACTCTTTGTCTTTAAAAAAATTATCACCATTTTCAGGTACATTTTGTGCAAAGGAAATTGGATGGAATGCTCTGTTAAGCATCTTGGAGAATCTGCCACAGTTCTTCAGGAGACTTTGATGGTTTTGCAGCTGATCCCTGACAGCCAGCATTCAGCACAAAAAAACATTTTTTTTTTTGTCTGAAACATTTTTTTGCAATTTTTTTCATTCTATTTCTATTTTCTGTAACATTTCATTTTTGTTGGAAAAGCACTGCACAAAAGAAAAATTATCCACAAGCCACAAAATCGACATCAGTATTTAAAAAGTAGTGCACATACTGGTTTACTGTATTATGTTGTTATATTTCTTAAAGAATTTCTTTTAAACATTAAAGTCATTAAAGTCTAGTGGAGACTTTCATTCCTCACTCCTGTAACTACAACACGTTCCTCTTCCTTTCACTGTAGATATATTTAATAATTCATTACTGAATAAACGCTTCTAAGATGAATAACAGTACAATAACTATACTGTTATTACATTCGACATTTTCCTTTAAATGTAATGTTTGAGTTATGTTAAAACGTTATCTCAAAATTTGTGGTTTCAAATACGCTCGAACATTCATGTGCAAGACATTTAGCCTGAATTTGCAATAGTCAGAGACAGAGTTAAATCTTTAGAAGTATCTATTTAGTGTAAACACAGCCGAGCCAGACTAAAACAGACTGTGGCATATATTTGACTGCAAATAGGCTGCATAATGACATGTAAAGCCTTATCAGTGTAATTATTTTTAAATAGTTTGTATTCAAATCTATGATTTATATACTACTAATACTAACACTAATTCTAATAACAGTAATTGTTAAATCATTATTATTATTACTAATATTATTATTATCATTATTATTATTACTATTAATGGACTATTTGTCCTCTAAATACTAAAAACTGACATCTACTTTCCTGTTCTCTCTTTTGTTTTACAAAAATGAATATTTTCAGTTCTACATCACCCCCTGCAACAACTGCAGCTAACTTCTCTTTAACTGCTTAAGTAAAATAGCTCCACTTGATCCTACAGATCAAGATGACATGGTGTGTTCAATGGCTCCTGCAGTAACTACTGTAAACATGCAGCATGTTCACAGAGGAGTGTGATGAGGGTCAGAAGATGAGGGACTCATCATGACCTGCATATTGTCTTCAAACTCGAAGCAGTGAATCAAATGTAATCCATCAAACCGCTGCTTCAGACTTTTAACATCCAGCACCCAACAACGCAGATATGTTTGAATCATATCACACTGATGTGTCCGAGGGTGTCAGAATCCCCAAATCAATGGTTCTTGTTCATTTGCAGTTTCTGGTAATGAAATTTAATGACAACCAGCGTAATATTGTCAACATCACTGTTAACCATGCTACTAGCTCATATGGTAGCAATTAACTGAAGGAATCAATTTAAGGAAACTAAAGGCAAAGGAAACATGTCCGCACACTCAAAACATTTCAACCAAAAAGAAAGAATGTGATCATGGGAAGCATCTTGAACTGGTTCACCTCCTACAGCTTCAGAAGCACTTGGCTTACACAGATGATGAAGAACTACAGCCAACAAACTTGGTTCTATACCAGAATTTTTCCAACCTGTATATCTGTCTACTGTTCTCTCTATAAATCTGTCTGTCTGTCTGTATGGAAAGAAATGATGTGCTTTAAACTTCTTCAGATGTGGGGACAGGATTCACCCCCATAAAGCTTCAGAAGCACATCACACAGTTTATACTGGACTTTTGTCTAAAGCCTTTTGTCTAAAACGTATAGACACATCAGTGCCATACTGAGTATCACTATATGGGCTCATACTTGCCCAAAACACTTGATGGCTGTGAAAATGGCTTTGACATATTTTGCAATCTGATCCACTGAGCTAGTTTATGAGGGGAAGAGGTGTGGTGGTGACTGACACAATAAAGATCATACACGTGAATATAGGGCATTAATTATCTCAATGCCATTTCCATTCTACCTGTAATATTTCACATAACTTAGCAACAGTAGCTCAAGGAGACTCGGATCAGTTACTGAGACCAGTGTCAGATATCAACTGATACTCACGGCTCTCATATCAGTATTTTACTGAAAATGGGATGATAACATAACAATTCCATCTATCTATCTATCTATCTATCTATCTATCTATCTATCTATCTATCTATCTATCTATCTATCTATCTATCTATATATATATATATATATATATATATATATATATATATATATATATGTATCTGTCTGTCTGCTTTAAATATATTGTGTCTATAAACTTATTTAGCTGTGTAAAGCTAAAGAACCATTTCCCTTATACAAGCTTATATCTATCTATCTATCTATCTATCTATCCACTTTAAATATCTTGTGTCTGTAAACTTGCTTCAAATGTGTACAGCTAAAGAACCTTTATGCTTATACATCAGATGTCCAGCTTCTCTCTCTCTCTCTCTCTCTCTCTCTATCTGTCTGTCTGTCTGTCTGTCTGTCTGTCTGTCTCTACTCTTACACCCCAGCCTTTGTGTACTACACCAGTGTTTGTCTAACTTCTCCATACGATGTGACACAGAAAAGAGACAGGGAACATGAGAGGCAAAGACAGATGTGTGTAATGTTCATTTAAAGCGTGTGATATCTTTCTCTCCGCCAGGGGGAGTGTGTCTAATCAATTACAGCTCCCATCCCGAACTGACAACCAAAATGAACACTTTACAGTAATACATCCGATCATTATTCACACCGGGTGACCAGAACTTCTCCGTGGCCGGATATTCACAACTATATCTACAGCCTATTGTACCCGTCTCTGAGGCCATGAGTCCTTAATGCATATAATAATGTGAACAGTTCAGTAGTGCAGGACAGTCAGAGCATTTTCAGCATCGGACTGGTTCAACCTGCAGCAAAGCCCTCAGACAGTACTGTATGTGTGCATCGAAACCACAACTAAAAGTTGATTGCGTTATCATTCTGAGGGATCTTCCTGAAATCTGGCTGCTCTCACTTCAGTCCTGATCGTGAAGCATGAGCCGTGTTTTTTTTTTTTTTTTTTGTAAAACTGGATAAACAGATAGCTAATCGGACTAACAGATCAGATCAACATGAAGCATGCATTTAACTAATAGGCGTGTAGGTTCTAACACGAGACGGGATTTACTCGAAAAGCCTACAGTGTGCTGTTTTGCACTCGGATTAATCACCAGGTGCCTGAACGCAGCACAATCCAATCTGTCAGTACTTTTGATTGACGACCAAACCATGTGGTGTCTAACATTTAACTTCATATGACGCACAGGCTACAAATTCATTTCTGCAACATGATGGATTTCAAACGATCCAGCGTCTGCGCGTGCCACAGACCGGGATCCACTTTGCTCTCTCAGACTGTTTTGCTTTCTAGATGGATCATCTCATCTGAACTCCAGGTTTAACCAGCGTGGACCGCAGTGTTTCTGAAACATCTCAACTAAAATAATAATAATAATTTAAAAAAAGGCAAACAACAAGGAATAGGATGAAGATCCGAGAGAGAAAAGCAGCACTGCGCGGAGATCGGACACTACAGGCACGTACCAAGAACAAGACTGTTCACCGCAAATGTTGAACAATAATTCATCACTACAACAACAACAAACAAACAAACCAATAAATAAATACATAAACAGCCAAATCTAAGCATCTACATAAAGTGCAGTAATAATGCCAATGCCTGACTGATTGCTTCTCATTGAGATCTAAAGAGGAAAGCCCGTGTTTGGACAGAGATACAGTGTAGCTTCACATAAATCCTGCCAATGATCTGTATGAGATCAATATTCCCAATTCTTACCTTCGTATACAGGGGCCATCGGTGCAAGGGTTTCTGTTATTCATGGCAAAAATGGGAAGAGATGCTTCAGTTCAGAACTCAGGAAAAAATCTGCCATCTTGAGCCGCTGACAGAAAGAATCGCCGTCTCCCACATTACTGAGCCAGTTCATCGGGGGAGAGAACAGAAGAGAGAGAGAGAGAGAGAGAGAGATAGAGATAGAGAGAGTCACATCCAGAACTGCATCTGTAATAGCCGGATTTCTGAAGAGCGATCCCTTGCAAGTTCTCCTCCACGGACCGGAGCAGTTGCTGGGCTCCGAGACTGAGCTGGACTGCCGCTCGGGGCTTCAGTGTGCACTGGGCATGTCTGCGGAGTGCCTGCAAAAGTTGCAATGGTGAAAGAAGCGGAGCGAGACGAGTTGAGCCGAGCCTGAGAGCTAATCAAACACCTATGCAGTCGATCAGCGGGCCTCCCACCTCCACACGCAGCTTTACACATGTTGCACATGCAAATCTCTTCACATGCGCTGAACGTAGTCCTGTTTATTCAACCCTCATCCAGGAATGTTATATACTCACTTCTTTATTTTAAAGCATAGGCCTATTATTCAGATGTGGAATTCTAAAAAGAATAAAACACCACGCTGCTTATTGGAAAAGAAGAAGAAGAAGTTGATTATTTTCCTAGAACAGCATGTCCCAAAATGTTTATTCCGCTTATACGACAATTTGCCAACTATTAAAAATTTTATAACAATATCTAATTCTCTCTCTCTCTCTCTCTCTCTCTCTCTCTCTCTCTCTACACATGCAACACCAGAGATACCTGTGATCCTGACCCCTTCTGGTCTCGACCTTTTAGTATGTTTCACTAAGGAACCTTTCCCTGATACACAAGATATCTAGACTCTATCTATCTATCTATCTATCTATCTATCTATCTATCTATCTATCTATCTATCTATCTATCTATCTATCTATCTATCTATCTATCTATCTGAAATGATTAATTGCGCATATATAGATAGAGGCACAGGAAAATATTCTTCAGAGATTTTCCCCCTTTTTTCTTCCTTCTTTGAATTGGTGCATTTTTTTAAAAAATCCATTTTTGTTTCCATTATAAAGCACTGAAAATACTTTTATTTTTAAATAAATAAATGGAAATAAAATCAAGAAAAATATGTTACTTCGTTAGGTGTAATTAACATGTAATCAGAAATGCCATGAGAGGGTTCAAGCTTCCAAAAAGTCCAGAGTAGCTGAAGCCTAGACAGTACCATGGAAAACAAACAAACAAACAAACAAACAAACAAACAAACACAAAATTCAGGAGAATAAAATTGTCTGGAGCAGGAGGTCTACAACATGTACGGCTTGCCATTAATTGTTAATGCTTTAGAACAACCCAACTCCATTCCTGTCCCATTCTCCACACATCTGGTCCAAGCGATCAGCTCATCGAACTCTTCACGAGTTGGATCAGACATATTGGGAGTCTGATCTGGAGTTTAGAGACAACCTCTATTTGGAACGCTGAAAGTCTTCAGTAGCGAAGCTGAGGCTCTCTGTGAAGCAATACCTTCATTTATCATGCAGAGGCAAGTATCTTGTTTTCAAATGAAAGTCCATCAACTGAATAGTCCTATCCTGAATCCACCTGTGCCACTCTCTGACCCATACAACCTCCCATGAAGTCATTACGTGTTGTGTTGAATGATTCTGGTTTCTATTAGTCGTGTCTGGATCAGAAGCTCCAATGACGCCGCTGGATTTTCATAGAATGACCGAGAGCGGAATCAGATTACACACCACTCATACAGATGTGCATCATCTCTCGTTTACTCACCCTCACTACAAACACCAGGTTTGTTTAATTACAGATTACAGCGCTATCTGCTAAGAAATGTGTGAATGAACAGAAACAATGTCGTCCTGAAGCCTGTAGTGCAAAACATCTCTGACAAACTGGAGAAATGAAAAAAGACATGACACATGGGCACAGTGTAAGAACAACTATAACTGCAACTCACTTCTTACTGTAGTAGTAGTTAATAATAATAATAATAATAATAATAATAATAATAATAATAATAATAATAATAATAATAATAATAATAATAATAATAATAACAACAACAACAACAATAATAATAATAAGAATAATGATAATAATGATAATAACAATAATAATAATAATAATAATAATAATAATAATAATAATAATGTAATAAGCAAAATAAGTATAAGTATAATAAGTTATTATTATAGTTAATAAGCTGTTGTTGTTGCTGTGGGGCATGGTGGCTTAATGGTTAGGCTGCCTTACACCCGCAGGGTTAGAGGTTCAAATCCTGCCTCTGCCCTGTGTGTGAGGAACGTGCCTATTCTTCCCATGCTTTGGAGGTTTCATTGGTTTCCCAGTTCTCTCCCAATCCAAAGACATGCAGTGTAGGCTAATTGGCATTTCCAAATTGTGTGTGAATGTGTGTGTGATTGTGCCCTGCGATGGGTTGGCACCTCGTCCATGGTGTCCCCCGCCTTGGGATAGACCTCAGAAACTCCCTGAGACCCTGAGTAGGATCAGTGATATGGGGGGATTATTATTGTTATTACTGTTGTTATTGTCCACTATTTGTCTAATTCTACATTATTTGTCACTTTTACCGAAAAATCCGATCAAATCCAATTTCATTTGTATATCTCAATAGCCTATTACTTACATTACATGCACTGACAGAAACATCATAAACAGCTGTTCTTATGTGTCACACAAAGTTAAAAGTTACCAAGCTGCTTAACTGTAGTCTTCTTCTTTCTTTTTTTTTTACACCAGTAAAAACTACATTACCCAGGAGCACTCCGTCGTCAACAAACACTACTGCGCGCTAGTAAACACAGAGGTAAGCTTTCTACAGTGCTCGTCCTTCATAAATTCTTGTCATTTATCTGTATGTAGCCTAACCATTTCTAAAGCAATCCCCTTAACTCCAGCACTCAGAAATAGGCTACGGATTATTCAGACGTAAGGATTATCGCTTCCGGTATTCTCAGGAGACCACAAATACATGCGCGCGCGCATCAGATTTTTATTTATTTATTCATTTATTTTTAATTAAAACAACAACAAATATCTGCTTCAAATCGAAGAAGTTTTCACGTACAGTGTATTGACGCTACATGCTGCCGTCACATAACCGAGGTCTATAGGAGACTATTATTTTAATCTGAATACACTACATAGGGTGTATAAATATATACTCACACCCTGCACAGTGAGGGCACTGGACCTGATTAATGTCACTCGGATTTCTCTGCAGGAATGAAAGTGGCGTGTTTATCAATGACTATACGATTCTTTAGTAAACTGCGTTTTTTGTTTTTAACCGGAATGTAGCTAGTTTATGTATTTGTTTACAACTTTTGGAAGAAATAAAAGAGCTGCTGTGAAATTGGATTATACAAATCCGCTGGGTGTAATTTCACTGGTGCACCATGAAATTATATCCAGACATTTTGCAGATGTCAGAAGTGCTGAAACATCAACATTATTATAAGCCTCGTTTTTGCATTGTATTGGCTCTGCTTAAAAAGCGAATGGGACACGCACAAGGCGGCTGTGTGACGTAGGTGTGACGTGAGTGTGACCTAGGACCTGGTCGTTGATTGAAAAAGGGCCAATCACTTTTGCTAGTAAACTACACTGACGCATGCGCAGATAGTGATATGATTTATCAATGGAATTTACTGTGGGTTAGCTACATGAATGTGAAATCATAAGTATTCTGGACATAAGTATTCTGGACAAAAAAAAAGGCTATTTAAAACATTTTTTTTTCTTCCCTTTGGGGGCACGGAGGGTCAGTGGTTAGCACACTTGCATCGGATGGATGGATGTAATAGAATAGATTTTTCTATTAAGGGGAACTAGCTACAGATCTAAGCCCTAAATGACTTCCACTTCCCCATATAGTACACCTCTATTGCAAATCAGATTTCTTGTCAAAATGTACAGACTTTCTGCAGTTTGCAGTGAACAAATGAAACAAAAGCAATTGAAATAGTTCAATGCAACAAATGCTTCAGGTGGTTTCTCCAAATTCAACTGAAAATGCAACTTATAATGATTTCTCCAGTTTCAAAATGATTCAGCCCCTTGAATAGAATCTCTCTCAACACTCATATGCAAAACAGGTGTTGTCTCAAGCACACCTGATGCAACTAAGCAAGGGCTTCGTTAATTGCACTAGATGTGCTTCAGCTGGAACACATGAAACCCCTGAACAGGCTAGGGGCAGGAAATATATGAAATACCTGATTGGGGAAGAAAAAGGAAGTTATCAATGGCTGTAACCAGATTTCTGGTGGGATTTGAAGAAGGCGGTTGCAGCACCCAAACCCAAGAATATTACTGAACTGGAGGCCATTGCTCATGAGGAATGGGCTAAGATTCCTCAGGAACTCTGCCAGAAGATATGCATCTCATTTGCATCTCATTTGCAGCAGGTCATAACAGTAAAAGGATGCGCTTCTAAGTGCTACAGATGCTTGCCATGAAGGGGTTGAATAATTTTGAAACTGGAGAAATCATTATAAGTTGCATTTTCAGTTAAATTTGGGGAAACCACTTAATTTTGATTGCAACTGTACGTAGGTTGTCCATAGTGTGTGTGTGTGTGTGTGTGTGTGTGTCTGTGTCTGTTTGTGTGTGATTGTGTCCTACAATGGGTTGGCTCCCTGTCCAAGGTGTCCCCCGGCTTGTGCCCAAGTTTCCTGGGATAGGCTTGAGGCTCCCCTGCGATTCCTGTGTAGGATAAGTGGCATGGATAATGGATGGATGGATGGAATGGTGCTAAAGACATTTATAAAGATAAATATTTGATCCTAGGACAAAAACTATAGTTATTGCCCCTTTATTACAATAAAAAAAGAAGCTGAATCTAAGTGTATTTTTAATATGTAATTTATCTGTAGCATAATTTTTTTTTCTGAAACAAGTAGTTTTCATTTAGATGTTAGGAGAAGCAGTGAGGAACTCGGCTCATTTGGGAAGAAAAGTCTCCTGGGTGAAGCTCGCTAATGAAGCTCGTTGAGAAGATGTCAAGGGTGTGCAAAGCTTCACTGGGAATACTGTGATTTAAAAATATACAATAGGTTGAGTTTCTTTAACACTTTTCTTGGTCATGGCATAATTCCATAGGTATTATTTCCTAGTGTTAATATTTTCATTATTACTCTAAAATGAAGAAAACACTTCTACGAACAGATGTGTGACTGGTAGTGTTGGTCACTTTGTAATTATAGTTATAACTGTCTATCTAACTGTATATCATAATATGCTTAAATAATTTCCTGTGCACAGTTTGTTAATCTGGTAGTCTTCTACATAAACCCTTCATCAGTGTCAGGGTCAGTTCTAATCACAGCACCATTTGTTAGCTATTTGGGTGGTGGGTTGTTTCTTAACCCAACTATGACACAGGTGACAAGGTGATTAAAAACCCCAGTAACACAGATGAAGATGAAAATGATGTATACTGTGGCCGTCAGGGCCCTGATCTCTTCCCAAATGAACACCTATGGGAGAGTTTGGACTGACATGTTAGATAGCACTGTCCACCACCACCTCCATCGTCAAAACACCAACTAAGGGAATATCTTTTGGATGAATTGTGTTCATCCTTCCAGTACAGCTCCAGAGACTTGTATAATCTGTGTCAAGGAACACTGTTCTGCTGTTCTGGCAGCTTGTGGTGGCCCAATGGTTTGCTAAGACACTTTATGTTGTTATTTTCCTTTAATTAGTCTCTCATCTGTATGTATCTTTAATTGTACGCCTATATCCGGGCTGTGTTTCTGGAAAACCAAGCCAGATGTGTCATGCTAAAATATTGTGCTATTATTTCAACAGACTACTTCATCCAGATGTTTCTTTGAAGTGGTTTTTGTTTAATAATTCTTTACTGTGCAACACCATCCCTTAGCTTGCTGTGAAGAATTTAATTAAACCGTAAAACTACACTTTTAACTCCACTCTTAAAATAGTGCTTAGATTGTTGGGTTCTGCATACAGCCATATAAACTTTAAGCCTCTAGAATGGATTCATGAAGATTGAAATCAGATGGAACTATTGCATGATGGTACTTTAAGGGTTCTAGTTAGTTCTCTTAACACATACTGCACCCTCTTGAGAACATGGGTTCTCCCAGGAGAACTTTTTACAGCTTGCAGTGGCCAGGTGATACTAGATACAGATATCAAGTAGAAATGAAAAACCCACCCAACAGCAGAGTCTGTGTCCCAGGAGGATAGGATCAAGCTGAAGAAGTGCCAGGAACCATAATTTACTTATGCAACCGGGTAACCACAACTCTCCCCCTCAGTAATATTATATACTGTATTATCCTGATGGGGGTTGAATACGTTCTTTGTGCTGAGGCATGTGTTCATGCAGGTTTAGTATAATGATACTTAATCATTTTATTACCTTCATCATATGTTTATTTATAGATGTACTGAACTTGTTAAACCGTAATTCTGAAATTCTGAGCATGAATCTCAGCTAATAGCATACTCTGCCTCCTCACAACTAACTTTGCTGAGTAATCTGTGTGAATTCTGCTTGTGTTTCCATTTTAATGGCGCTGCAACGGTTCCAGTCTTTACAAAAGTTTGCAGAATGATGTGTCTTTAAATGTGGCTTGTTCGCCATAGATTCGTGTAAGATGCTTGTGGAAATTGATCGAATTTATTACATGAATAAGTGGAAACACAACGTAATCCCTGTTAATGTCCCTGTTTCACATGCATTTTAATGGACAGAAGCACTGTGCATGAGCCTTTGCACTTTGGTGAAATTGTTTGTGTCATGACTTGCATTTTCCTCTGATTAACCATTAACTGTTTTGTTACAACACTAGAAAAGTAAGTGAAGGGTGGTAACTAAAGCCACAACATTGATCAGAACTGTTTAGTGCTGTCCAAATAGATACGGTAATATTATAGATTGTGCAGTTTGTGCTGCATGTGGGTAAGTCCAAAGCAGTTCATACTTTTTTCATATTTTTTATGAAATCAGACCTTTTTAAGTACACTGTCATGTATTTTGGATAATATTTGTTTATTACTGCAAGTTGTTAGTGGGTTATATAACAAACCTGTTTCTTTATTTGGCCACAGATATGCTGACAATGTTTGGAGCTGAACCAAGTGGATTCTCATTGTCCCTCTGCCTTTTCCTGCTCTTATTGGTTCTTCTGTACTGGTGAGTTAAGTTACACACAGTTACAGTAAAACTAAGTCAGGTAGAACTGTAACTTATTTAGAGTTTAATTACAAATCACTTCAGAGAGTTACCTGGTGATT